ATAAATTACAACTGAAAAACGAAAGATTTTATAGCCGAGGCGAGTAAAACTCTTTCCGCAAGAAGAATACGCCCCGTGTGGCAGCTAACGGTTTAGGCGTAACTTCCCCAACGATACAACGGCAAACGTCTCTAAATCTGTAGCACACCAGATTTACGAGCTCCGGCGAACGGGAACGAAGTCGAGAATTGAGCACTTAAAAATAAAAGGAATATTTTGAAACAAATAAAAATATCACTTGTTTCTTCACTTTTGATATTTTTATATCCGATATTTGGACATAAATCTATCTTTTCTTTCCTTTCTCTTTCTTTCCTCTATTTTTCTTTCTTCTTTTGTGCCTTATTTTCGGTGTCTTCTGCGGTGTTGAGTCCTCACATATTTATAGATGGAGTGTAGCAGTGTAGCAATGGACAAACTTTTCACATGCGTAGCAATAATAAAGTGTTTGGAGGATGAGTTGGAAGATGCCATTAATGAGGTGCTGATGCCATTCATTAATTGATACTCACATGTGACATGATACCACTAATGAGGTGGTCATGCCAATAATTGATACTCACATGTGCCAAGTGGTTGTGGAGGTTGGCACTAAAATAATTACAACCATTTTTACACTCAAACAATTAATAACAAGTTATACGACTTAGATCAGTTCCTTATATCATGTCTAACGTCAGAACAGAATAGTGACAAATTTACTGTTTTACTTTTTACCACGGTGCACTAGTAAAATGGATTAACATTGATCCTGTGCTAATATGACAACCAGACATGGTTAGCATCCATGAAGTGTGATAAAGATATCTTAGGCAAAAGCAACCGACTTAAAAGTGTGATAAATAGAGGTCACCTTAACATTTAACTAAGCTTATGTTCTTACTTTTTTGAATAAGAGTAAGGAAAAATATTTGACATAACATTGATATTAAAAACTAATCACTACAAACTATAGTGACAACAAAAGAAGAGATAAGACAACTATATCAATAAAAAGGCGACATGATGATTATGATTTCAAATAATATGGTAAAGACACAATTAATTAAAAATGAAATATAAAGAAGACTTTGATAATAAAAAAAAAAAAAACTTTTATTATTATTATTTGTTTTGGTACATAGAAGGAGGCCAAAAGGCCTTAAAAAAAACAAAAAACTTGTATTATAAACAAACTGAAGTTGGGGGAGGAGGGGAGGCGCAAATCCCTACAAGTCCATAATGTCCGATTTTTTCCTATTCCTCATACTGCGCCTTATCAGCTGCTTTTTTCCAGAAGAGTTGGTGTAAATCTGGGGGCAAAAGGGGTGGGATAGAGGAGGAGGGGGAAGCGATGATTGGTTTTTTACAGTAATTTGGGGCGACAATGAAGACATCTTCAAATTCAGAAAAAGGAAGAAAGTGGTTTGGAGTGTCTGATTCAGAATCAGAGCAAGACTCAACGATCATTGAGTTGGCTTTAGGTGAACTTGGCTCCAAAGAGCCAGGCACATTGCCTCGTCCCGCTTCAGAGAAAGTAGAGGGGGTAAGAATTTGGACCGAGGAAGTAACCAGTCCTAGTAAGGAGGGTTTGGGTGGAGCCTGGCCAAGTGGGGGTGCCGATTCCTTGGGAATCGGGTCAGGGGCAAGGGAGGAGGGTTGGGTGGGCTGGCAGAAGGTAGAGACGGAAGAGAAGAAGAAGAAGAAGGGCTAGAAATAGGTGGAGAGGGATCAATGTGAGTTGTTTTTTCTTGTTAATTTTCAGGGAACCAATGGTTGGATTGTTTATGTTACATGATGATTCATCATGTCCCACATGAGAGCAATATGAACAGTATTTTGGTAAGGGTTTGAACTCGACGGTGAGTTCAACACGTTTGTTTTCGCAAGAAATGACAATGCTAGTGGGATGAGGGGATTCAAGATTGAGGGCTACGCAAAAGCGTGCATAGTGGAGACGAGTTATTTTCAGTGTGGCATCATCAACTTTTAATAAGGTGCCAATGATGTTGGTGATTGTTCGAAGGGCCTTTAAATCAAAGCAATGAAGGGAAAGTGCTGGGGTTTTGATCTGGGGAGACCGGGCTGAGATTGAACTAGCCGGGATGGGTTTGTGTTGGACTCGAAGATTTGGGTTTGGTTCAGGCTAGGCAGAATGGGGTTGGATTTAGTTGGAATGGGAAGGGTGAAGTGTTGACAGACTTAGTTTTGATTTGGAAGGGCTGAGAAGGGCCAGATGAGAAAAAAAGGGTCCAGTTGAATTAGATAAAAAAAATAGGGGACAAATGAGCTTGAATTTAGAAGGCCCAATAGGATGGAGAAGAGAAGAACTTACAGGCCCAAGAAGAGGAGCCCAAGGATTAGGCACGTACGGGATTATGGCTAGCTGAGGATGTAGCGCCACCACCTTCTGACCAGAGGTATAGAAACCGGCGACTTGACTGAAGAAAATTCGGCGATTTTCGACGGGGTTGGTTCAGCATACGAGAGCAAACGGGGAGCACCACTGGGAATCGTTTTTGTTGATTCATTGAGTTTGGGGACGACGTAATGTGCGGACCATTTGTCAAATAATAAGCTCTTACATAATCAAATTTGAGTTACCATTTGTCAAATAATAAACTCTTACATAATCAAGAGATTTTTCTAAATTGCATTCTAAGGCTTTATAGTTTATTTAATATACTATGCAATATAAATACTGCACTAAAGTCATTATGGGAACAAATAAACATTTAAAAAAAATATAGATTAAAAATTATCATGGTTGACAATAATATACAAATAAATCATATGTTGAATTTGTAAAAAATAGTTAATATATTTTAATTTATTATTTAGCCATTGATAAAATTATTTAATGATGTAATCATTCTCTTAAATGATGATTTATTTTAATTTGAAAATTATTTGTTTTTACATGTTACGACGGTTTATAATTCACTAACTTTATTTCGCCTAATTTGTTAGAAGGAGAAAATTATTTAACATGTTACGATTGTTTATAAATATTTTAGGATGAAAGTCAACATTTGTGAAAAAAATTAACAATATGATTATGACTTAAAATTTGTTTTCATGTTTACGTTGACCAAAATATTATCAACATGAATCACGGAAAATCAAATTATAGTTTATTATAATGGATATCAATAAAATTATTTCAAATGTTAATAAAATTATTTAAGGAAATAATCTTTTTGATCATAATGTGTATACGAAAACAATTAATGCATATTTTTAAAAATCTCCAAATAAGGTACGCATTAAATGCTCCTAGAACTTTTTACTACTATTTTTTTGAAATCAAATAAATCACTCGAAATTGATTAATTGAACATATTTTCGAAAGCGTAAAATATGGAATGTTGTTGATTCATACCAACAATAAAAAAAAGAGCTAAAGTGAACACCGAACATATTTTCAGATTTTGAACTGCTTTTCCATAAAAAGTAAGTCAAGGCTTGACCCACTTTTTTCAACTTTCCACAAAATATTTTTCCCTCAACCTCTTTCAATATATATAGATTGTTAATTTGGTATGTTTTTTCTTTTTTATGTCATAAAAATATTAGAAATATAACAATATATATATATATATATATATTATAAAGAAATTATACTATATATAATTTATAAAATTTATATAATTATTATTAACCGAGATCGAATATTTGATAATTTCGAATCGAATATCTACAAATTCGAATTCGAATTCTTTTAACTTTCAAATATAAACATTATTCATATTGAAATTCGAATTACGAATATCAAATTAAATAAAAAAACAAAATTTCCTTTGTTTACAACCCTACCTCTACAACGTTTTAAGATCTGATTTTCCCTTCGGCCCAACCTCCCTTGCTCTCTCACGCACTGACGCACGCATGTGTTTTACTGAAGATCTAAAGCTTTAGCAGCTATGGAGATCGGACAATCGAGTAACGGAGGTTGTTCATCAGCTGAAGCTGTGATGCTTGGAGCCCTAGCTCCTGGAGTCAATGTCTGCGCGTACAACTTTTTTTTCTCTCTTCACAATCGGAATTCAAATTTTCTCTATCAATTCAAACATCTTTCCCCTCGTATAAAAGATTCCGATCTTTATCATCATGAGTTGCAGGGCCCGACATGGAACACCCTAAAGGTTGCATTCCTTATGCTCGGCGTGTGCCTTGCTGCTATGCTGGGATTGGCTTTCTCCTTTAGCGATTCGTCTTTGATTCTCCATGTCACCTTCCTTCTCCTCATCGCCGGCGCCCTTTTCTTGCTTCTCAGCAGGTATTGAAGTCTCTTGCTCTGTTCTAAGTAACTGAAATATTTTTGGAGTCGAGGTTTTGTGTGATGTGTTAGAATATTTGTGTTTTAATTGAGAAAGTAATTTTAGGGTTTTGGATGGTAATTGGGGAAATTAATAGAGTAACAGAGTGGGGCTTTGAGAGAATTCAACAAAAGATACTCTGTGGTTAATGTTGGTGAATGGTGATAAAATTGAAGCACAATCCTCTGAGATGCCAAAAGGACCAAAAAGGGGATAGGAAAAATTTATTTATTGATGAATTCCTAGTACTGACTACTGAGCTGGGCTGATGTTCTCTAATGTTTCTGTACTACTTTGAATCGATACTTTGCGACTTATGGCCCGTGATGGGGTATTAACTTCAACTTCCTGCTTTCCTAAAGTTGAGGAATGTAATTGTGTATGTGGTGAGGGGAAGTATCCAACAGCAAGATTATTCCTTCAATGTGTTGTGTGTCTGTAAATGAATTTGAGTTTTGATACAATTGATACGTATGGCTTTTTTTTTTTTTAAGTGCAGCTAATCAAAAGTTATGCCAATTATAGAAATAGTTACATCATTCTTTACTTCAAGTACATTGTTTCTTGAGAAAGATGCATGTAATGCTCTTGAAGTGCTGTAGGGATAATGGCTTTTAAGGGTGAGCAAAACCGAGCTGAACCATGCAATTCGGTGGGGTGCGTTTTTGTTTTTCTAGCGTGGAAAATTTCTGGTTGGGTTTGGGTTCGTTGTTCTTCAACACTGTTGTGTTGTTCGGTTATTATTTTTCACCTGTTTTTTTGGTTCGGTGTGTTTTTGTGCCGGACCTCACCAAATTAAATATATACGTGTATAGAAACCGAGGCAATCCAAAAACGAGCTGAGCCGTGCATTCTGGTGCGAATCGGTTTCGGTTTCGGTTCTGTTCAAATATTTCTTTTGATAAGTTCAGTTCTTTTGCGGTTCGGTGCATTTTTGTACCGAACCGCACCGTTGCCTAGCTCAGTGAATGGTGCCTAGCCTCAAATTTTAAATCATTTTGTGCTTCTCATGACTTATCAATCTCTTCCATTGTCAAGCAGAAGTAGACCTTAAAGGATGCTATCCAAATGTAGAAGAATTTGTTCTTTTATATGGTTATGGGGAATGACCCTTTTTCTTTTACCTACATTGTCATTTATAATCGGTGCAGCGTTTGTTTTCATTGTAATTGCCCATACTTCAATTTACTTCCTAGCATTGTTAATTTGTTTTGATCTATTCATATATTATGCTACTTATTGTTTAGGACCATGTGATTTGATAGGAAAAAGTTCGATTAATAGGTTTTCCTGACACGTCATTATTCTGTATTCTGTAGCTTCCTAACAGAGACTGGCCTTGTTTCTGTCGAACACCAGATGAAGGAGATGGGCTTAAGAACAAAAGAAGCTAGTGATCTTAAGCAAGAATGAGTTAAAATTTGACCCGATTCTAATTAACACAACAAAACATTCACAGATGGGTTGCACCATCACAAGCTACTGAAGTTTAAGAACTCATCCGAAAAGGGAAACATGTACGAATCTCTCTGGTAAGAAAAAAGAAGGCGAATGTGAACTGTTTTGCATCTGCCGTCATCCTCTTACTTCATTCCGTTGCGAGTTAGCCTTTTCGGATTTGATGTAACATAAACACGAGCAGCACGGCAATTGCAGCACAAAACTAAATTATCACATGTTTGTTTCGGTTCAAAGAACACGATTATAGACAATGAGGAGCTTCTTGTTCTTCTGGTCTTTATTTCTTCTTCTTGTGATTTTATTCCTTCCAGATGCACTCTTGCGTTTAGAATGTATTATAGTATTTTTTTTTCCTTTTAATTATATAAGAATGTATTGTAATATTTTCTTTTAATCACTTTGTTTTATCGATTTAATTATAATAATGTATTATAATATTTTAACCAATTTTTGTAAAATTAAATTAAGTATATATATGAACAAAAAAAAGGTCTTGATAGTGATTGGGTAACACTGAGTTTTCAACCGCCTGGCCGATTTTTTCGCCCAATTTGTGCAAATTAGAAGCGGTCGGACACCGCCTAACAGGCACCACTTAGACCGATTTTTAGAATCGTGCTTTAACATAACCTCAACTAATGCACCACATTTCATTCATTTATGTGGACGCGTGTCAACAAAAGCATCCACGTGTAAAGACCGTGCCTTGCCATTGTATGGTCATTAAAATGCAGTAACGAAACAAAGTATAAGGACACAAAGGTGGTATTGTAAATCAAAAGGTAGAAACTATAGCAGAATAAAAATTTAGCCTTGATTTATTAGATATTGATTGATGGGTTTTAATAAAAACGCAATAGTGGATCTATCAAGAGCCATCACCCGATGGGGTGATGAAAGAAGCACGTTGTCCATGATTTTAATTTCTATTAATTTTTCCTCCAAATCATATGAGGTACACATTATATTGCACTCCTTACAATTACTCTTAGCAAGTTTTACTATGTTCTCATGATCATTGAAATTATTATTCATTTTTTCTAGGACAACTCTCTTTTTAACCTTTGAATAAGTTTGAAAAGGGATATTTAATGATTCTTGATTTTAATATGTAAAATAATAGGAAAAAAATTAATCCATCTGTGCTATTAATTCAAAACATTTTGAGCCTAAGTGGTAAACTTTCATGTTCCGGATGCTGATCTGGCGAAAATCTATGCTTCGTAATTCTATACTTCGAAATGTTGTTTATATATTATATTTTGCTCTAGAGTCGGGTTTAGTATTAGACATAAATATTTTGTCTTAAATTTGATAAGTGTATATTTAATTTATGTTTTTTTTTTCTCTTAGTGCACAATTAATTTTTTAGTTTCAGCCAGTAACAATTTTACCATATTATAATTTTTTCTCATATTTCTCTCCAAAATTAGAATTTGCAAACCACTTTTATGCACTGTTGTTCTTGTTTTCATCGGTTAGTGGATAAAAAATTTTAAACAAAAAAATCATCTTAGCAATAACTTTTATCTATATTTCTTAACAACGCTGTAGTACACATATTTTGCACTAACTAAAAATTATATGCAAACTATGAAGTATTTCAAATACAATATTTTCTAGTGAAAATATGCACGTTTTGTGAAGAAAATATGTAATGATGGTGCTCAAATCAAACTAATAAATATAATCTGGCACACAGGACCCAAGGGAGTTATTAGCAACCGGAAGCGAAGGCATGCACGAAGACGACGAGAGCGTGAGCGATGTCGGAAACAGAGCTCGTGAGTTCATGACCGAAAAGGTTCCAAACAGCATGCACAATCCGTCGGACAAAACAGGGGATAAGGGGAAGGATAATTGTGAGAGCGATGATAAGGATGAGTCGATAATGGAGAATTATGTCAGTGATGAAAATGAGGTTATGCAGAAAGTGGGCAAGGAGAGAGGAGGAAAGCCTGTGGACGAAGTTGAGGGTTTGGATGTAAATTGGCGCCCTATTGATGAGAACAAAGTTTAATTGTCTCAGTTGAATTGTATAATGGCTACCACACAATCCATGTATATGTATATGTTCGTGTTGTTTACCACTAACTATTATCGTGTCAATACATTAGTTAGGAAAGAAAACACTACCATTCCGTTATGGGATGGTTTCGTTGTATTTTATCTATCTACACATTATTAGACTACATGTATATTAATTAATTTACGTGTACAAAAGACAATGCAACCATCCCGTAATGGGATGGCGGCATATCCCCATTACTTATTACTACAATTATTTTTATTATCATGTCAATACATTACTTATTGCTATATTTTTATAAACTAGTACAACACTCGTATAATATATGGGTGTTTGTTAATTTTTTTTTTTTTTAAAAAAAACTTAAAACTAATGAGAAAGAGTGGTTGAAAAGGTAAATATTTTTTATAAAGAATATATATTATTATATATTTTAGTATGATACTTATTCCTTGTGCGACTTACTTGTGTTATATTATAATAATTTTTTTAACTTATATCATATAACTACATTAAACATAAATATATTAATTGAGAAATAATTAATTTAATAAATAATTTTATTATTATTTTAAAGATAAATATAATTTATTTATTTTATATATACAATATAGATGTCAAATCGAAGCTCATCAAACGATGATTAATTTGATATATTATATATGCAAAATTGATAAGAAATACAAAAGTTATCAACTTTAAAATATATCTAAAAAGTTAGGGATATATTAGTCACTTAGTGCCGCACTATGTAAGATTACAAAGAATTAAAGGGTTATATTAGTATAAGTGTTATGAAATTATTTAAGTTAGCTTAATAATATTTATTTATAGAATGTCCGAACCTAAAATTATTAATTTATAATATCAATATTAATTATCCAAACTAAAATACGAAGCATGATTTTTCGAAGTAGGATTTCGAAGCAACAGAAGCAACCACGTAGGCTCAGCGCATTCGAGAATTATATATAGGAGGAATTTATTTTTATTTTGAGTAATAACAGCATTAATATTTTTATTTGTTTTTTGGCGTAGACAAGGTTATAAAAATGGAAATATTATGATTCCGTTACGATACCATCCCGTCGAGTGTTTTAACCGTTGGATCAGCTATCTTATACTAATTACATGTGTATTCTATGGTTAAAATACCTGACAGGATGGTACCGTAATGGGACCGTAGTATTTTCAGGAAAAAATTATAGTAAACGTAAACGGGTAGGAAAAAATACTTAAGAGCTAAAACAGAAAATGAAAATGAGCTTAGAGCATCTCAAATAGAACTTTGTTTATTTTGTTATGTATGGAATGGAGAAAGAAAATTAAAAAACTGAGTCTCTAATGGTTAATGTTAAATGTAGTGTTATTTGTGTGTAAAATTATCATTGGTTGGAGAAGAGAGATAAACTGAATAAATTTTATAATATGTAATTAAAGTTGTTTAGAATGACTTTAACATTTAGAAAATCTTCTAGTTCTAGGCATTTTATATGACACATCACATTGTTTGTGCCACGTGGCAATAATATGGGACAATACAAAGCTATTAAAGATGAAAAATTCTATGGAGTTATCAGATAATTTTCTTGTGAAGTCATCCACCACTTAATATATTGACCCTACTCCAAATTATATTTACTGTAAGACACGTGTCAATAAACTATTAGTGAGTAAATATGAATAACTTTATAAGTCAAATCATCCGATAGGTCTTTAGCAAAACTGCCTTAAAAATAAACGAAACAAAAATGTCAGTTATTATAGAATTTACTCATTTAGATATATATGTATAAAATAAAATAAAAAGATAAATTGGTGGCATTGAATAGTAGGTTTATGTGTTTCCAGGTGGAG